TTTTTCCCCCATAAGAATAACACAGGCCGCGAGTTAGCGAAGCGACGGACGAAACTCGGAGGCGCCGCGTGTTAATAAAATTCGCCGGAACCCCGCGATTCGTGCTTATTTCATCGGCGGCCGGCCGAATTCGGCCGCGGGTGACGAACTTCGGCCGTGGGACCGCAGGTGGGCCGCCCAGGGCCCGCGTCGAGCGACCCGACTCGCGTCGAGCGAAAACCCATGCTAAATCCCATAAGAAAATGTTTTTGCCGAATAATCGGCAATTCGGCCCCGGCGGGCCCGGGCGACCCCTTGAATAATCGGCCCAAAAATTAGCTTCATTTTGCTTTTTAAAAAACGAAAATCCGTCCAGTAGAAAGGTCGCGGCGGCCTCCGGCGTTTGCTTTTTTCTCCCATAAGAATAACACAGGCCGCGCGAGTTGACGAAGCGACGGACGAAACTCGGAGGCGCCGCGTGTTAATAAAATTCCTCGGAACACCGCGATCTATGCTTATTTCATCAGCGGCCGGCCGAATTCGGCCGCGGGTGACGAATTTTTGCCCTGGGGGCCCCCTGGGGGGCCACGTTGGGCCCGCGGCGATCATTACGTCTCGCCCGCAGCAAAAGCGCATGTTAAATTCCATAAGGGAATTTTTTTGCCGAAAAATCGACAATTCTGCCCCGGCGGGACCGGGCGCCCCCTTGAAAAATCGTCCCAAAAATTAGCTTCATTTTGGTGTTTAAAAAACGAAAATCCGTCCAGTAGAACGGCCGCGGCGGCCTCGCGCGTTTGCTTTTTTCCCCCATAAGAATAACACAGGCCGCAAGTTAACGAAGCGTCGGACGAAACTCGGAGGCGCCGCGTGTTAATAAAATTCGCCGGAACCCCGCGATTCGTGCTCATTTCATTAGCGGCCGGCCGAATTCGGCCGCGGGTGACGAATTTCGGCCGTGGGCCCGCCTCGAGCGACCCGATTCGCGTCGAGCGAAAACCCATGCTAAATCCCATAAGAAAAGATTTTTTGCCGAAAAATCAGCAATTCGGCCGCGGCGGGGTCGGGCGACCCCTGGATAAATCGGCCCAAAAATTAGCTTCATATTGGTGCGCGAAAAACGAAAATCCGACCACGGGAACGGCCGCGGCGGCCGCCGGCGTCTGCTCGCCCGTTCTCCCATAAGATTAACATTGGAAGGTGGATTTTCAGAAATTCGAAAACCTAATGGCTTTTTTGCTATGGGTTTGCGACCCAGGGTCCTATGGTGATTCGGACGCGTCTCGCGAAGGCGCACAGCTGGCTGATTTACTTGGTCAGGATTTTTGACTTTTCGCAATGTAATTTCTCGAAAAAACCGGTTTTTTCACCCTTCGGGGTGGCGGTAAACCTGGGGAAAAAATCGGAAAAATCGGTTCGACCCGGGAGGATGTAGGGCACGTCAGGGGCCACCGCGGACGTGATTGCCTGTTTGATCCGATTTTTTTCAGTCGGCCGTTTTCGCACTTTAATGCGAAAAAAATGCATTTTTTTGCGAATTTCGCGAAAAACCCTGAATTTAAGGTGGGAAGGAAGGTCGTGAGCGAAAAAAGAACGACGACGTCGAATTAGCAAATTTAATCGCGCGTCGAACGGTGCCAACGCCATCCTTCTCGCTCGGATAGCGGCCGAGCGGTAAAGCCGGAAAGGGAAAAAGACGTATTGGGCCCGCGCGGGCCCGGCGGGGCCCCAATCAAAAATCGGGCGAATACGGGTGGTTGAAATGGGGTGCCCTACCGGGTAAAGCGGCGCTGCGCGGCAAAATCGTCGGAAATTTGCGCTCATTGTATAATATTATCATGTTATAACATGTTATAAAATGTTATAATATCTTTAAGACACACTATATATGTCTAATGCAATAAATTTTGATCTAATCTAACCAACCTTGACTTGATTAGGCTAAACATTTCAAGAGATATGTGAGATATCTTTATGAATAAAGGTATCAATAGGCACCCTCAATCACTTCAATGGTTAGTCATGAGACATATTTTTGGATAGATTCAGAATAAATTTTATTTATTATCATTATTACTCTTTATTGACTTAAATGAGACTTATTAAATTTATTTATTGCTAATTATTGTTGATTGTGAAAATTAATATTTTTATTCAAGGAATATTGCATACATATTATTATTTGCAACATAATTTAATGCTGGTAGCGTGGTAGCCCAAACTGAGGAGAAGACTTAAATAGCTCTAAACTATGATTATAGAATAGAATTGCTTATAAAAGAGATTTTACGTGGATTACTGCACGTAAGATAAGAAAAACTGTTGCAGTAAAACTTATTATTTTAATTCCAAATTACAATCAATTACAAATTTTAGATTTCCGCCACCAATACTGACAAACTTTTCAAATTCTTATATGGCCTACCCCGCCAATTTATTAAAGGTTTGCGAGCTCCCTCAATCACTTGATGTTAAAAAATGGATTGGTTTATTGGTTATACTAAATTATTATTATAGTGACCTTTAAAGGCAAAATGGATATGGTCGATATATGTCTAATGCAATAAACTTTGATTAATCTCATCTAATAATTAAAGCAGTAATAAAATAAGATTTTAGTGAAGACTCTATCAAACCAATTATCTGCTCTTATTATTAATTGCTATCCAAACTTTACAGTTTTACTCCATTTGGTTTGATTGCCAAGAATAGCATTATTTTTCCTCATTCTTTTTATCGAATATAATCGCGGTGGTTATTGGCGGCAGAATTTCAGCAAGATTCCACCATGCCCACTCTGTTTTACGTACTATGCGAAAGACCTGTAGGCGATGAATCAAAACATTATTATGTATGAGCAATTTCCATCGAGCAACAGTTACTATCGCACAAACAAATGCTAATTGATTGTTCTCCTCTACAATTTTTTCTTCGCATTCTTCGTCACTTTTGGTGGGGAAGAGCAGGCGGACAACCAAAACACGCCGGGCCGTTTTAATTTTTTCTCTCCATCTTTCAAAGGCGATGTAACGCATCAATCAGCGGCATGTGCGTGTGTTGATTGGCAGGCGGTGGAAGCTGCCGAGACACTCAATGTTCAGCAGCTAGTTAGTAATTGCCATTGGCCTTTAAATATTTACCGAACTGTACCACCGTCTGCTCCGATTTATGGCCCCGTGCCGCCTTTCATCTCAGCCTCTCATATTCACGATCTATCCATCTATCCTCCTCCGCACACTTACTCAACTCTTCGCGTGGTCCAGCCTGGTCATCCGGCGCGCGAGTTCCAGCTGCCTCTCGAACCATTCTCTTTTCATTTGCATAAACGCGACTCCCACTTTTGTTTTTTATGGATGGACGAGTTTGTGCAAAATTTTTATGTGAAATTTCCTTAAACGGCTGAATTCACTTTCAGCAGATCTGATATTAGTTCACAAATTATATTTTCAAAAGTAGAGAGTTAAATTCAAGACAGTCAGAAAATGTCAGTAAATTTATTACTCTTAAAATGTACTTATTGAGACTTGGAGGTTGGAATTTGATTCTGAACTTTTTCCATACGTCCAATGGCTGCTTTTTGAAATACTGGAGAGTGGAGATGCAAATTTTATTGCTTAAATTTAACAATTTTACAGAGTTTTCCCCTGTGGAAAGTGAGGAGGGTTAGTAAAATATATGCTTGCCCACCCCCGCCTAATTATTAATGGCGTGCGAGCTCCCTCATTCACTTAATGATAAATTAGACATTTTTTTTATATTGCTATTATGACTGACTTGCAGTTTTGTAAAGAGATATTAGAGTACTGTATATGTGTCTAATGCAATTTATGCAATAAATTTTGATTTAATGTAATCTTTAATGATATTAATTATTACAAAATTGTCCTGGAATTACGAAGTTCTCGTCTTATAGATTGACAGTTTAAAAGATATATTATTTATTTCTTGTTATATATATTATTTATTTGCCCAAATTGTTACATCACATTGTTTACTTCCCGCTATTTAATTGATTCCCATTACTTTCCATTGGACAAAGCTCTTTCTAAAAGTGAAGGAAATATGAGATATGAGTATCTCTTTATTAAAAAATTCTAATCGTGTTCCAAGATCTCCGTTAACACACAACTCACAAAACACCCTATTTCATCAAAAGCTGGAAATCTAATTTAATTGCTAGGCCCTTTTACAATCTTTACGACGCATCAATGCTCTGCTCTCAGGGCCCGCGCTCCTAAAACTTCACGGCACGTATCCTTTAGGAAAAAACCTCGGGTGGTTTTACTCTGGTTTTACTGACGGCGTGCATTGTATTGGATTTCACCTTGCTAGATTTTCGTCAGTGGCCGCAGCAGGTCGGCCGGCCAGTCTTTGATTTCTTAATGCGTAAAGGACGTATCAGACCACAAATAAGTAACTTGAGCCTGCCGAGCCAGGGATACCCAACAAATGCCTTTAAATCGATTAACTCTCTCGAATTTGCTATTGTAAAACATCTGCAACTTCAGCACTAATTTATTTGACGTAACCATCAGCATGAAAGAAACGCCAAGCAAGGAGTCGCGGCATTTGTCAAGCAGGTTGCATCTCACAGTCTTCAGGCGGCTCACTACAAAATTGCAGGTGTGGTGGTGTGGCGCAATTCAGAGACTTTCACAGAGGGGCTTGGTGCCCCAAAAAAGGCTTTTGGGACAAAAAAACTAATTGCAAAAAATGGGATAAAAATCTGGGACAAAAAATTTCAAATAAAATAAGCTTTCAATATACTTTTACAAGAAATATTAATATTTCTGAAAGAGGTTTTGGTTTTGCACTCTAAGACACTCAAGTAATAAACATAGGCCAACACTAATTCATTGGCAAATTGATAATAAAGTGTAAAAACATAACAGACAGAAACCTAAAGCCCCCCACAACATTACACTTTATTTCCAACCCTAAAAAGCCTGCCCTTCATTTTTAATTTTGTGTGCGACAATCATCATTCATTTGAATAACAAAATTCTCTCTTGTGCGTGTTCCAGGATGTTAGGGTTACCAAACAGTATCCCGGGCGCCAACGAAGTCACACCTATCAACTACAAAGATGTTTGCAGAACGATGCACTTTCTCAGTGACAGACAGAAGGAATTGTGCGTCCTTAGCGAGAACATTCTCACGGTGAGAAAATAACTTATAATTCAAATTTTGGTTGCATACATGAAATTGGGAAAAATTATGATTGTTGCAAATGATTAGATTAGATATTTATTTATATATCACAGAAGCAATCGCTGCTCATATTGAGATACATCATCAATCATAAATTCAAAGTTATCATCAGATTAGATTAGATCAATATTTATTGCATTCGACTTAGACATCTCCAATTTGTCTCTTTGTTTATTTTGAAAAAATATTTTTCAAATACATTGAATATTACATTAAATTAATTTTACAATTATTGATCTTAATTGACTTTTGAAGCGTCGCCACGATGTAGTGACTCACTGCAACGCGCCCCATTTTTAACAAACAAGTAGAAAAAAGAGTAAAAAACAACAACAATATTACAATTCATCAATAAGTTGAAAGAACTCTTCTTTGCTATAAAATATGTGGGCATGAACAAAAGTCCTCAACTGTTGTAAGGGCAAATTGGAGATGTACTATATATGTCTAGTGCAATAAATTTTGATCTAATCTAAACTATTTTCAAAAGTCGTGTATCGAGGCTCCAATTAAGCGAATCAAAACAGGCAATTTTTTAAATAAAGCAGCCAAACAAGTCAAAGGGTTCTGCTTCGAAATGAACGAAGTCTGGGCATGACCATTAGATTAGATTAGATCAAAATTTATTGCATTAGACATATGTAATACATCACCAATTTGTCTTTACAACAAGTCAATAAAATAGCAAAATAAAACCTCCAAAAAATTTTAACTATAACATTCAATAAGTGAGTAATTGAGGGAGCGATTGAGGGAGCTCGCACGCCATTGATAATTTGGCGGGGGTGGGCAAGCATTTGACTAACCCTCCTCAAATACTGCAGGGGAAAACCACCCCCGAAAACCCTGCAGCTGAGTCTCACTCTTCCAAATTTAGGCATTCAAATTTACATGTCCAATATTCATTCATATCATAGTATTGACACTTCAGCATTACAAATTTGACACTTTTAACAAAGTTGCCATAGTCAGATATTTCTTTCAGTACATTAGGTAGTTTATTATATACTCTAGCAATCATTATCTCCGGACTCTCATTTACGCAATTTAGTGAGCTTGGCCTTACAAACAAATCAGTGTCGACGTAGCTGGTAGCACGCGTAGTTCGCACTACTACACCTGGAACATCCCGATTCAGTTTAAACTTTTCAGGAAATTTACGCACAAACTTAACGCACTCCAAAATATCACTGTTAGTCCTTGTCTGATAATCATGAACTGCACTTGTTTTTTTAAAATAGTGTGGATATTTACAAAAAAATTCTCATGATTTGAAGAGGTATATTGAAAAAAACAGGAAGTCGAACCGAGCGAAAAGCGGCCACGCAGAACAAAGAGGCTCCGTACTGCGCCAATAGCGCTCAACCGCAAGAGCTCTCACACCACTTTTTTCTGCGCCAGAAAAACCTCGTCCATCGCTTGATTCGACCCTCCCCAAATTAAAATGCTGTAACTCGACAATAAGCGTCCAGTACGCCGACGACGTTACTGTTTTCAAGACAATTACTAGCCAGGAAGGCGTCGACCAACTTCAAGATGATCTGTGCAACGTGGAAATTAGGTGCGCAAATAACGGGATGAGTTTTGAACGCAAAAATTGCAAAGTGATCGCATTTACTCACGCGGGCGATACCGTATATTTACACCCTTGGTGATACCGTCCTTGAATTTGTGAACCAGCAAAAAATCCTCGGCATCCATATTTCCCGTGACCGTCGGTGGATGGCAGGTCCACACTGATATTGTCCGCGCAAAAGCGGCGCAAATGCTTGGCTTTGCAGCCCGCAACCTGAGAGGCTGCATGCCTCGACTGAAAAGAGTTGCTAACCTCTCGCTCGTAAAGCCGTTAATGACGTATATGGACTCCCTGCGTGGCGCCCAACGATAAAAGCAAACGTCAGAAAACTGATCGAGTGCAGAATCGGGCACTGCACTTCATCTACGGCCGCAACCTGCCATTTAAAGTCAAATTAAAATTATCGCGGTCTAGCACAGGGCGCCTAAGTTGAAAATTAAGCACCACTGTCTTTGTCTGATTTAGCGTCAAAAAATTGTCACGGCAAAAATCTGACATTAAATTCACTGCCAACTGCGCTTCTTTCATTAAGCCGTAAGTCGTCTTGGAAAACAAAAGGGACGACGAATCATCCGCGTAATTTAAGAGCAACCCGACAGCTACGTGGAGCGGCATGTCACCAATGGAAACGTCAAAGCCAAATGGAAAAATAATACCACCCTGAGGAGTCCCTCTTTCAAGTAAACTGTCCTCAGAGTACACAAATGTCTCCAGCTTGCCGTCCATGACACGCAAATTGACCGCCTGCGTCCGGCCGGTCAAGGCGGAACGCAGCCACTCCAACGCAACCTCTCGGACGCCTTGAAGCTCAAACTTCCGAAGCAGCAGCGGCACGCAAATCGTTCCGAACGCGTTTGAAAGGTCGTAAAAGGTGTCAAGTGCTTTTTGCTGCTTTTCAAGCTGCTGGTGCAATTTTACAATAAACTCAAAAAGAGCAGTCGCATTGCACTTGCCCTTAATGAACCCGTGCTGCGAGCGTGGCAGCAAATTATTCGATCCATAAAAATAAAACAAACGATACAAAAAGCACTTTTCAAGAACTTTCGAAAATGTTGGTAAACTGGAGATGGGCCGATAATTTTTAACATCTTTTGAACAAGGGAGTCACAATCGCTTTTTTCATTGACTTGGGGAAAACATCGTCGCGGAATGAAGCATTTACTATATCTGCTAAGGGTGCAGCAATATAAGGCGCAACTCTCTTTGCAAGGAAAATTGGAATTTCATCCAAGCCAGCTGAACGCTTTTACGGCAATCTACTAAGCACTCTTATTATTTCCTGCACCCCAGCCAGAGACAAAAACAAACTAGAATTGCAGATGGACTGCGAAATTGGGCTATGCAACGCATTTCCCAGCTCCATTGGCGACGGGACAACAAAAGCATTATTCAGCGCGTTCGCGATTTACAAAGGGGCGACTACCACCCGATTAATACGCTCCGTTTCGACAACTTTCCCTGCACTTTTTTTTCAGCAAGGACCATGCCACTTTAGTCCTATTCTCCGCATTATCAATCACACGATTATTTGATGCGCGAATTTCGGCCTTTAATTTCCGCAAATATTCCTTCTTTTGAATTTTGAATTCCGCAAATTTTTTCATCTTTTAAATCCGAGCATGGCATTGTTTTAACTAATAATTTAATTATACCTTATTTATTTATTTATTCTCCATTCAGATACAATGAAATACACAACATCTTACATTAAGTCAATACACAAAAATTAGTAACAATTAATAATAATAATAAAAACAATAGTAATTGAATTGAATGAGGTTTATTAAAACACCATATGAGTACAACAATATAACGTACAAAACATGAAACATATACAATATTTTGCTTTAATTTACAGCTGAAGCTTCTCGGAGACTCATTTTCCTTTTCGAACAAGATTTTATGTGGTACTGAGAGCAAGGTTCATTTACAAATTACAATCAGACAGTGGATAAAAATAAAATTTATTGTTACTACAAAATAAATGATGAAACCCTTGACAAGCAAATCTCGTAAAAACATCTTTGAATTGAGCACCTTTCCATGCAAACTTTGCATCGTTTCCACGTCATAGAATTCGTTTGATACGTTAAGTTTATTTAGTTGTTGTTCATCATAATATTTTTCAAAATTATGTGCTACAAAGAGAAAATTTCTCTTTTAAATCTGATACAAACAAATCAGTTCATACATCTATTATATTTGGAGAGACCTAACGTCCTCTTAAAGTACCTGGTCTTTCCTCTCTCCAGGTTTTCAAAGTCTTGTTTAGTTAGGAATGGCCATATAATCTCATACCGTATGATGCTATTGGAGATATTTTCAAATCAAAACTTTTTAATGGCAGTGTCAATTGATATATCTTTTATATTTTAAAACAATAGTAAAACAATAATTAAAAAAAAAATGTGTTTCAAACAAGAATAATTGTTCAGCATTTGAGCTTTTTTGGTCAATAAAAAATCCTTTAATCAAAATTATGTCTACCGAGCAACTAGCGGAAAAAATATCTAAAGCAAGTTAAAACTGTAGAGATCCTTAATTACCCTTTTATGATAAATTGCAGTTGAAAAAACATATCAGTGTGGGCAGAGTTTCGCTCGAGTTTATTTCATTGAGAAACATAATACACGGTCTACCTCATTTTGTTGCACTTACTCTCGGAAATCTGCAAAGAGCCCTCTTGACGACGTACCCCACGACAAGGGCCACCATCGAGCGCCATGTTGTTCTTATAATGACTTTAAACAATTCATTAGCCGGATCGATGCAAAAAGCCAGACCAGCTCGACTATTATCGGCCAGAGGAAATAATAATAGCGGGCTCATGCATTTTCATTTATGCAGCTTTTGCAACCCCACACCGCTAATTACTGCACACATAAGAGCGAAAAAAAAATTTGAATTTGCTTATTCGCCTGCTCTTGTTCGAGGCAGCAGTTAATTATGCATTCACGTCGAGAAGTTTTCGCAACGACCAATGAGAGCTTCAAGTTGGCTTGCTCGAGTGTGGCCCTCGAGTTGCTGCACAATGCGAGAGGGGCGGCGTGTGCTTTCATTATATTCCTCTCTCAGCCCGCCGCCGGCCTCGACGCAACCCTTTCCACGCGGCGGACGCGGCTCTTTATTTTTATCTCAACGGCGGCGCCCGACATTTCTAGCATCCACAAAATGCACAAGAGCAAATATTTTCGGCATTTAATAAGTCCCCTAAGATAATGTCTGCAAATTCCTGATAATTTTGAAGTAATAAAATAAGTTGTAACCCAAAAATTTAAAGAACCTGTGGGTTTTCAAGGGCATTTAAAAAAAAATCCAAAAACGTGTATACATTGCCTTCTTGTGCCTGAAGATCAAGGTCCATAATTTTCAAATCAAAATTCAAAATAAAATTTTGAGATAGCCATTCAATTCCTCGTCAAATTGTTTGCGACGTTTCCTTTCTTTTAAGTAACAATTATTCAAAAATTTTGCGAGTTGGCTTTCCCCCTGTGGTTTTTTGAGTCGTTCATTGTTTTCTGAAACAACGACTCAATAAACCCATGGAGGAAAAGCCTTACAAAACTTAAAATGAAATGAATCTATATCCTCAATTATTAAATTCTACCACGATCATAAAAAAACGTCGTTTTTAGCGTTCTGAGATGCACTGTCAACTTCATTATTATTGTAGTAGATCAATCGAGGGTTGATTCATGGTGATTTGAATTTAAAGTTGGCTTTTTCTCGATGGATTTTTGTGAGTTTAGTCTTCTCTTGACAACCACCGCGAAAGGTATACTCAAAACACACGTTTCAATATTCTGACTAAAAATTGTTATAAAAATTAATGTTGATTCATTTTGTCAAATTTTTGTGTTAAAAATTGTTTTTTGTAAAAATGTAACCTTTCAATAATTTTTTTTTTCAGTTTTAATTTGAAAGTTATTATTATTATTTATTCTTCTCGGTCAATACAAAAATTGAAGATATTTTTAAAAAATTGTTTTTGTTCTAATTCTTGTCAAAATGTTTTCAAAGCTCAGCATGAGTTATGGCTGCAGCCCGCAGCCGAAACATGTAGAGCAGGATATTGTTTTTTCTTAAACAAAAATCCATCGAAGAAAAGCCAACTTTAAATTCAAATCACCATTCATTATTATTATAATTATTATTATTTATTATTGTGTCATAAGTGATATTACATGTAATAACTCCGTCGTAATCCACTTATTTACAATTGGGTCAAATGAAAGATAGAATTAGATCAAACAAGAGAAACATATTTACAAATTCTAAAAGTAATCAAGAAACTCAAGTTCGGAATAAAATTTATTTACCGTCACAAAATCCTTTAACAATCTCACAAATCGATCATACCGCGGTTCAATCCGAATAGCAACCGGCAGTCGATTATGCAAACGGGACATACAGATTAATGGATTTTGCCTTGAAATGGCAGTAGTTTGCACCGGTACATACAATCCACCTCGACGTCTAGTTCGGTACAAATGAATGTCCGCAGTTTTTTTAAGTAATTGGGAAATTTCCGAACAAATTTGCAACATTCTATGAGAAATACAGAATGCAAAGGCAAAACATCAAAACGCTGATATAGAGGACGCGCCGAGCAGACTGGAGTTGGACCAGGCCAATATCACTCACCTGCCATTGCACGAATTAAACGCGCTTTTGCGCCACAAAAACCAACTCACGAGCCTCCTCGGAACATCCTTAGATCACTCAGCTCATTATCGAAAATGCATAAGCGTAACAAACCATCTTTAAACACTTTTCATTCACAGTCAGTCAGTATCATCAGTCAGTCAGTATGCCAGCGTAAATAAATGATGCTTGATTTCAATAAAGACAAACCCAAAAACAAAATAAAGTCCTCAAAATACAGCGCTATATAAATTACCCACAACATAATCATGATCATCCCACTTCAAATTCCCTGCAACTTAAAGGCCCAAAAACTTTACTTCTTGAGACACACTTAACAGATTTAGAATCAACTCGAATCAATGGAGAGCATGAGGCTTGGCTTGCGCTGCATTTTTAGGAGGGTGCTGGAAGGCAGTTTTAGGGATAGAATTCAAAGAATTATCTCTCAGCTACCATAATTTGCGTAATTTATTTATTTTTTCAGGCAGTGGGCTTGGGAGCTAAAATGGGAATTGATGAGTGTCAGCACCAGTTCAGGATGAGTCGGTGGAACTGCTCCACAAACGCAGAGTCAAATGAAGTTTTCGGCAACGTCCTCTCAGTCAGTAAGTTGCAATTTTAATTAAATTTAAGTAAGCAACCGAAAAGGAATAATTATTGGGCTGAGTATGGTTATGATAATGTAAAACATTTTATTTAAATTTTTATATTTTACAAAATACTTGGATTTGTTTGAAGAAGTTGACACTCGAGGAGATGATCATGGAAATGAAGAGATCGGGCTTTTCCTCGTTGCAGAAAAATTGTTTTTATTCAAAAACAAATGGCTCTACCAGTTTCGGTCACGGTCTGCGACCCTATTTCATGAGCAAGAAAAAATACAAAAAATCAGCAAATTGAAAAAACACCACATTTTAAATAAAAAATTAAATTCTTAAAAACTAACAAATTCAGGTACCAACCTATTTCATGAGCAAAACGCGCTGCTCGCTGACTAATACAAGAATGAGCTAGCTAAAGACAGATTGATTGGGGGAGGTGATCTTTATTGGGATACCAAGCAGCAAGTACGCCACTATGAACAAACCTGCCAAAAAACTGTTCGCATCCGCGCTCAGTTCAACTTCCTATCCGAGTGCCGCAAAGAGTTCATCTGCCCAAAGGCCCTGCGCGTCAAACCGCCCGCCCTTCTGCAGGACGACCCGCGCGCCAAGGGCATCCTTCAGAGAGCCAACCACTCGTTTGTCCGCTTGGCCACCGACAAAGCCCGAGGTGAACTTCACTTTTCCACCCAGGAGGAAAACGCTCAGTGGACCGACCTCCAGTTCACCCTCGAGGACAAGGACGCCAAGACTCTTGACCAAATCATCGCGCAGAAGTGCAAAAATGTGAATATGACGGAGTCGGCACACAAGAACAACAAGTTGGAGAAAATGGTGGCCGCCAAAAACCAACACCGTCCGAAACCGGACACCACCAACGTCATCAACCTGTCCAGCGCGCCCCTCTCGGAAGCGCAACGCTCAGCCCTCTCGCGTGGACTTAACTTCAGTGTGGCGCCGCGCCGACTTCGCAGAATGGATTTCATCACCCCGATCGAAGCCGCATCCAAAGTGGTGGCCAAGTTTGCCCCTGAAAAAGCCGCCGAGTGGAAACAAAAAATTGCCGCCGAGCTCAAAAAAGAACACAAATTTCGGCCTAATATCACCAAAGCCGAAGCCCAGGGACTCCGTGACCTCAAGAACAACAAAGAGCTCAAGGTCGTCAAGGCCGACAAGGGCGGCGCCGTCGTCCTACTCGACACCGCCGACTACGACTCGAAGATGGAGCAGCTACTCGCAGGTGGCGAGTACGAGGAGTTGGCCGGCGATCCAACAAGAGAGTACGAAAAGAAGCTGCAAGCCATCCTCCAAGGCACCTCTCTGCACCCAAAAGAGAAAGCAGCCATCACACCTGACCCGAGCCACCCCGGCGCGTCGCAGAACGCCTACAAGACGCCGCACATCTACGGCCTTCCGAAGGTACACAAGGAGAGTGCACCGCTGAGGCCCATCGTGAGCACCGTGGGGTCCGCTTTCCAGCCGCTCGCCCGCTACCTGGCCGACATTTTGAAACCTTTAACCGATAAGTCAACAATTAGCATTAAGAACGCAGATCAAATTCTCCCAACAATCAAAAATTTCAAACTTTGACCAATTTTGTAGCTTTGATGTAAAAAGCCTTTTCACTTCAATCCCAACAAATGATCTTTTAATTATTTTGAGAAAAAAACTTGAAAATGACCAAACTCTAATTGATAGAACCTCCCTCCCAATTAGCTCACTTTTGGAATTAATTGAATTTAGTATCAACTCCACCTTCTTCCAATTTAAAGATAAATTCTACAAACAAAAATCAGGTTTGGCCATGGGTTCATCTTTGTCCCCAGTACTGTCCGAAATTTTGACGAAATTTGTCTCAAAATATTCAAACAATCCCCCCGTTTGTTTTTCCGATACGTAGATGATTATTTCATAATTTATAGAAAAAGAATTTTCCCAATCGAAAAATTTTTAGATTCTTGCAACTCAATCCACCCCTCAATTCAATTAACTTGTGAGTTTGAAAAAGATGACCAAATCCCATTTCTTGACCTACTTTTAAAAAAAGACGGAGAAAAAATTGCAGTTTCAGTTTACCGTAAGCCAACCTCCACCAACTCAACCCTCCACTTTGAATCAAATCACTCTTTCTCAACCAAGTTCTCTGTTGCTCTGTCAATGTTTAAAAGAGCATACAGTTATTGCTCAGGGGAAAGTTCTTTGAAAGAAGAAATTTCCAACATTTACAAAATTCTTCGTCAAAATTGTTACCCCGTAAATTTTATCAACAAAGCACACAATAAAGCAAAAAATCCTCCAACACCCAAAGCCCCCGAACAATTTTCAACCACAATGGTCATTCCTTATTTTAAAGGAAAATCAGAGAAAATCAGGGCCATCAGCCAAGAAGTTGCCAGAGTGCGAGTTGCTTTCTCAAACTCTTCAAATCTGCGAAAATGTTTAATGCATGTAAAGCCCAAATGTGAACCTGCTCTGCGTAATTGTGTATACCGCGTGCCATGCGCCGATTGCTCTTCAGTTTACATTGGGGAGACAAAAAGACACGTTTATTTCCGATTTGACGAGCATAAAAGGGCAATTTCAAAAACTTTTGATCCGGCCACAATTGGGACGGACAGCAATGGTTTTCAAATAGCTCAACACGCGACTGAATTTGGCCATTCTTTTGCCTGGTCAGATGCAACGGTTATTAAATTCGAACAAAATCAATCAAAAAGAAAAGTGCTGGAAGCAATGGCAATGGCATGCGGTAATAATGTAATAAGCCAACCGAGCCACCAATTCGATCAAAGGTGGATGTCCTTTTTGAGAGAGGAAGCAAACAGCTTTTTCTCGAAAACGCATAATGTGCCCGACGTCATTCGGCGCCCCCGTGGTCGGCCGCGCCGAGCGCTAATCACCCAATAAAGATCACCTCCCCCAATCAATCTGTCTTTAGCTAGCTCATTCTTGTATTAGTCAGCGAGCAGCGCGTTTTGCTCATGAAATAGGTTGGTACCTGAATTTGTTAGTTTTTAAGAATTTAATTTTTTATTTAAAATGTGGTGTTTTTTCAATTTGCTGATTTTTTGTATTTTTTCTTGCTCATGAAATAGGGTCGCAGACCGTGACCGAAACTGGTAGAGCCATTTGTTTTTGAATAAAAACAATTTTTCTACTTGGATTTGTTTGAAGAAGTTGTATTAGTCAGCGAGCAGTGCGTATGCTCATGAAATAGGGTCGCAGACCGTGACCGAAACTGGTAGAGCCGTTTTGTTTTTGAATAAAAACAATTTTTTACAACGAGGACAAGCCTGACTTCTTCATTTCCAAAATACAAACATGAGCAAATCTTTTACTAACCACATGGGTCCCCCCAAATTTGATGCTGGCGTCCTGAAATTTTCGTGGCTTAATCCTCATGACTTGAAAGCAAACTCCATAAATTTTTATCAAAAAATTTTCAAAATTGCGGGTTTTACGGGACATTTTGAAAAAATAAAAAAACCTAATAATCTCGGCTCCCCGTGGTCGTATAATAAAAATCTGGGTATGTTTGGATTTGTCTCATCAATATCTACAAAAATAAATTAATTTAAAGGTCATAGGTCAAAGGTCAAGGTCATTTATTTCAAATTCAAAATTTCAAACTCAAATTTGAAGATGTGCCTCACGCTAAAAGTCAAATTTGACATCGTCATTCAATTCCTCGTGAAATTTTACGTAATATATGTCAAAATTGCGATGTGGTTATTTTTAGTTAAATTTAAAATAAAATTAAAAGATTAAAAAACGTGGTTTTTTGCCCCTCGGTGTGCAGATTTCCTTAGAATATCATTAATTTCTCGATTTGTGTTGATTTTAGACATATATAGTTAATGACAAAAATTGACCTTCTTAACTAGACCAATCGAATGGTGTGCATGTCAATGACCTTTGGTGAACTTGGGTCAAAGGTCACCGTGACCCATGACCTTGAGTGACCTGATCTTTATTTGTGATACGTAGTTGGAAAGATCTTGTTAAGAAGATAATTTTTATCACCGGGTTTTTGTCTCTAGGTCTACTAGAATTCAATTAATCGTAGTTTTATGATAATTAAAAGGCAATATCTGCATTATAAAAACTAAACAATCTAATAACTTCGGTTCTAGTAGACGTAGAGACATAACTCTGTGACAAAAATTATCTTCTTAGCGAGATCTTTCCAACTACGTATCACACATATAGGTCAGGTCACTCAAGGTCATGGGTCACGGTGACCTTTGACCCAAGTTCACCAAAGGTCATTGACATGCACACCATTCGATTGGTCTAGTTAAGAAGGTCAATTTTTGTCATTAACTATATATGTCTAAAATCAACACAAATCGAGAAATTAATGATATTCTAAGGAAATCTGCACACCGAGGGGCAAAAAACCACGTTTTTTAATCTTTTAATTTTATTTTAAATTTAACTAAAAATAACCACATCGCAATTTTGACATATATTACGTAAAATTTCACGAGGAATTGAATGACGATGTCAAATTTGACTTTTAGCGTGAGGCACATCTTCAAATTTGAGTTTGAAATTTTGAATTTGAAATAAATTACCTTGACCTTTGACCTATGACCTTTAAATTAATTTATTTTTGTAGATATTGATGAGACAAATCCAAACATACCCAGATTTTTATTATACGACCACGGGGAGCCGAGATTATTAGGTTTTTTTATTTTTTCAAAATGTCCCGTAAAACCCGCAATTTTGAAAATTTTTTGATAAAAATTTATGGAGTTTGCTTTCAAGTCATGAGGATTAAGCCACGAAAATTTCAGGACGCCAGCATCAAATTTGGGGGGACCCATGTGTTCGGCAAAAGAATTGCTCACATGTAAAAAAAATAGTCATATAAACTGGAAATAAATAAATAAATAAATCATTTAAATTATATTAATGCTTTTCAATGGTCTAGTTAATTCAATTCAATTTCATTCTGTTGATTTTTCTATGAGATATTCAAAAGAGAGGAAAAGTTTCGCTGGCCAAGGCCAAACTGAAATTTTTCAGTTAAAATCCCTCTTTTTTCCCTGTTTGAGGACATGATAACTGTAAGTATTTATTAAGCTGCAAATAATATTTATTGTTATTTCACATTCACAGAGGCAATCACTGCATTTATTGTCTATTAATGCCATTTTAAAAATTCCACACCTATCTTCCATCAAATAAATACATAAAAACATGCAAAATTAAAGACACAATAAAAATAGTTTTATCAGAATTGTTATTTTGGAATCCCACTTTCACTTTTATTGGTGATTTGCAGGCAGTCGAGAGAAGGCGTACATTTACGCGGTGTCTGCGGCGGGTGTCGCTTATTCCATCACTAAGTCGTGCTCTCGCGGTGAGCTCAACGAATGCAGTTGTGACAACAAAGTGCGCCAGCGGAAGCCCAAAGGCAACTGGCAATGGGGAGGTTGCTCAGAGGTCAGTCGGTATCAAACAGAAAATTATTTTCAGTTGGATAAAATATTTGCATGCTTGACAGGATTTCCAATTTGGGGAGAAATTCAGCAGAGATTTTGTCGATTCCAAAGAGACCGCTGACGAGGCTGAGGGACTGGTTAACCTTCACAACAACGAGGCTGGAAGAAGAGTAAGTCCTAATCCCATTTTCTTTATTTTCATTTATAACAATAAAAATACTGGACCAATTTTAAGAATTTGCGCATATTCAAATATTTTATGTGCAAGAACCAAATGGCAAATAAAAGGTTAAGGTTTTACTTGATAAGTAAAATTCTAAAGAAGTGCAAATTATAATATATGCAGATTCATAACGTTGAACTGTTAAGGATTTGTGTTCTAAACGCAAAATCCTTACATTAATGCCCTTGCCTCCACCAGGCCATCAAAGTTAGGTCCAAAGAGCAATAAATTAAAGCACCGAAATCGCAAAAAAATATGCAAAAATTTTATTATCAGTATAGGGACTTCACCGTTGCAGTTTTAGTCATTTTACAGACAATGTTTTGAGTTAAGCGAGCTGCGAGCTGGAGGCACAGCGAGGTCGAGGACATGGGGAAGGCCGTGCAAAGGGCGAGGAAAAAAAAGGGGTTTTGTTGTAATCGAAACTAAGAGAGGGGACATTAAAAAATAAAATTTGCAGTTTTTAATAATTGGTTCATTTTTTTAATTTTTCGTAAAATGATAATATTTATTGATTGTTTCAGAATATTCAGATTCAGAAAATATTTATTCCGTATAGATCAACATATGTACAGAAATAATCTTTTCAAAACAAATGACCATGGATATTAAAAAAGATCAATTAAAAAGAAAGCCCTTAAAAAATGAATTTAATTGCAAGCCGAAAATGATTTAAAAAAAAAAATGCTAATTGAAATGGAGAAAAACAGAAGTTCTAGAAGTTCTAAGACGGCAGTGGCGGTGCCACAGCCACCGCCACAGTCAAACAAACTTAAGATGGTAATAAATTAATTATTCCACATCACCATTCAATGTTAAGCAGTTTATATTAGCAAAATCAACAAAATCATTTTGTTAGTAGCCACAGCAGTATTTTCGTTCAAGGCCTTTACAATAAAAGATGAGTCATCTGCGAACAAGATAAGAGCGGCGACAATGATTTTTAAGGGCATATCATTACCGTAGGAGGAATAGCCAAAAGGGCCCAATACTGTTCCTTGTGGAACGCCAATCGAAACATTTTCCATTTTGTTGTAAAAGTTAACGTTTGGATTTCGAGCTAACTATATACCACCTTAGATAGAAAGCTATCAGCATGCCACATTTCATGAAAATCCTACAATCCCTACTTGCCCGGCCCATTACGCGAGAAAAACAGAAGTAAAAATGTGATTTTTATTCATACGGTTTAAACTTTTTTACTCACCACTTACCAAACTGGCAATAACTTTTCAATCCAAGCGCGCCCATCTAAATATTTTATTCCATTCCACCTGAGCAATTAGTCGGCACTCAATATATCAGAAAATAAATAAAAATTTATCCCAGCGTCGAAGCAGCAAAAATAAAATGTTTTAAGTCTAGTCGGCAGAAGCGACGTGAATATTTGAGTAAGCCATAACACTAATTTATGAAACACGATATTTTAGCTGACAAATATGTACTCTCCGAAAACACATAACGTGTATAGTCGACGCAGAGAGGAAAAGCGATGAATACAAAATAAGGGTCCAGCATCTGGATTTCTCTTGGCTGCCTCAAAAGACGAACGCTCCCCCAATTTGAAATATTAAATTGCGCTTATGATCCATCATAAAAGCTTTTGTCTGCTAGAAATTTTTTACTCCGCATTCAGATCAGACCTAATAAATTTAAGCTTCATTGCCGCTTGCTCCGTCTATTTTGTGCCTTGCATTCACCGAAATTTTATATTTATTTTGCTTCCTGCTTGGCTGCTTAACGCATAACTCGTGTGTGTGTCGGCAGCAGATGCGCGAACGGATACGCTGAACGGCACTTCAAAATTAAAGGAGCGCCGCCGAGCAGAGAAAGAAAGTGTGGATTTTTAGGTTTTACGACTCAAGTCTTATAATTTGCTCACAATCATAAAAGGCAGGGGTCGGCTTTGTATAACATTTATGGTGGCTGTGGGCATAACTGAAATATGTTTTGTGAATAAAGGAAAAGGAAAATTTTGGTCTAACATAAAAATTAAATGCAGACGTTCTGCTGCCATGAAAATTATTTTTGTTAACCTTGTGTCTGTGACACTTGTGACTGTTTTTAATTTTTAATTTCCTACCAATTAAATTATTTTCATAATCAAAAAAGCAGGCTAAAAATGAAAATTAAAAATTTTCAATAAATAATTTCAATATGATGAAATAATTTAATGTAAATAATGATTGTAAAAATTTGGATCTCATTCCATCTTCTTTTTTGCCTTTTAATTTCCTCATCTTTTTGGAGTCATTTGTTTTTTCATTGAAAAACATAGAGCAGTTTATATTATTTTTGGAGTGCAGAATTTCACGATGGAGGGTTGATTCATGGCGAGTTAAAGTTGAATTCAGCTTTCCTTGGTACATTTTCTTGGTCATTTATTTGTTTTAGAAAACGAAAAACAACATCCTGCTCTACATTTTTTAGCTGTTAGCTGCAGCCATAATTCAATAGCTTTCTTGGCAGAGGTCAAGAGAAGACTTATGAGATCAATCTTTATTCATTTTCTGATATACTGCGTGTTTACTAATTGCCCAGGAAGTTCATGAACTATGGCTGCAGCCCGCAGCCAAAACATGTAGAGCAAGATATTGTTTTTCTGAACCAATAAACATTTCACAAAAACCCATCGAGGAAAAGCCGATTTTAAATTCAAATCACCATGAATGAACCCTCGATCGTGAAATTCTACAACAAAATACCTTTAATGTATTGAAAGAAATATCTGACTATGGCAACTTCGTTAAAAGTGTCAAATATGTAAAGCTGAAATAACAATTATATCATTATATTATATGATACGAACGAATATTGCAGATGTAATTTTGAGTGCTTAGAATTAACTGAGTGAGCTAAGCTACAGGGTTTTCGGGGGTGGTTTTCCCCTGTAGTAAGCTATGAGGGTTTGTCAAATGCTTGCCCACCCCCGCCGAATATCAATGGCGTGCGAGCACTGCGAGCCCCCTCAATCACTGAATGTTATATTATTTGAAATATTTTGATGTTTTTATTGCTATTTTTTTTACTTGTTGTAAAGACAAATTGGAGATGTACTAATGCAATAAATATTGATCTAATCTAATCGTCACAATCAAACCAAAACGTGTATAAATGACCTAGTGGCTCTCAAAAGTCTGTAGAAAACCCTGATTATATGATCCCTAAAATCATAGTCTGGAATATACTAGATATATACCATGACCTATTGAAATTACATCCGACTTCTCAAAAGTTAACAAGAAGGTCTTTCTAAACTTTAGACTACGAATTCAAAGTTTTTTAACAAAATTAATTTTTATAAAAATTTTGTTCAGAAAAATTTGAAATGTGATTGAGCGTACCTTTCTCGGCGGTGGTCGAGAGAAGACTAAATTATTTTTCAGTTGGTTTTTCGGGTAAAGGCTATGTTGTGGAAAAATGCATTGTATTTATTCGTCGCCACTGCTGTCTGCACATTTCTTTATTTTGTGCGCGGCCTAAACTGATACCTGTGGGTGCTGATGGGTTTATTGCACTTTTTTTGCACTTGAAATTATAAATATGTGTAGTTTAATAGATTAAATCTAATAAAAAAAAAACTAATAATTTATTGAAAAACTTGAATTACGCCTAGAAAAACTTTAGAGTTCAAGTTCAGTTATAACTTGAATATTTTCTTTCCCCCTCAAAATTATTAAATAAAACAGCCGTCACTAATGCACTTGCCTTCTTTACCACCAAAAAAGGGCACAGGCCGACAAGACTTTGTCTTGGCCTGACCCTAATAATAAAAAAAAAAAAAAAAAAATTAAATTAAATTAAATTTTCATTGAAGAACTAGAGCTTGGTAATGATGAAATAACTAAGAGTCGTAATTTTGCAGTCGATCCGGTCTCGGATGCAGCGGGTGTGCAAGTGTCACGGCATGTCCGGTTCGTGCAGCATGCGAGTGTGCTGGCGCAAGCTGCCGCCGTTCCGCGTCATCGGCGACGCGCTGCTCGCGCGCTTTGAGGGTGCGTCGCACGTCAAGCTGGTCGAGCGCAAACGCAAGCGCATGAAGAAGCTGCGACCAGTGCATAAGGACATGAAGCCGCCCAACCGCACCGAGCTGGTCTTCCTCAAAGAGTCGCCCGACTATTGCGAGCGCAATGAAACGTAAGAATTTTGTCACAAAAATTATTGTAATGAAAATAGTAATTTTAAACTGAATTAAAAACCACCCAGATGTTTAATTAGATCCTGCTTGGAAACAGTTTTATTACTCGCATTAGATCAAAATTCATTGCATTACATAAGTCATATGTAGTACATCTCTAATTTGTCTTTACAACAATTCATTAATAATAATACTATGTTGCAAATGAGGTGCGTCGCAATTCGTAATGAGCTAAATTTGAAATATTTTGGAAGTTTTATATTGCTATTTTATTGACTTGTTGTAAAGACAAATTGGAGATGTACTATGTCTAATGCAATAAATTTTGATCTAATCTATCTAAAAAGATGATCATGGAAATGAAGAAGTCGGGCTTGTCCTCGTTGAAAAAAATTCTTTTTGATTTTTTTCATTTCCATTTACAACGATAGATTATTAATATAAGTAAATTTAACATTCTACATTCATTTAAGTTTACAAAGCAGATACTCATAAAATAATTTGTATAGAACTTCTTCTCTCCACTAATAAAAATATTAGTATCGTGAATTCACTTTAGTTAAAAAGATTTTTGAAATCATAATTTCTGAACTGTGTGTTGTTAAATTTAGCCGTACAGGTTTTATAAAAATATGTAGATCCCCCACAAAAACACGGTTTTTCCTTGTGTTATGATTTTCATATGTGTTTCTTTCAGAATTTTTAACAAAGAGTGAAGGATTTTTTTACAAACTTGACACAATCTAACGCATAGAGTGCAAACATTGACAAGATTTTAAACCTCGCAAATAGGGGGCGGCAGGGCCTTACCGGGGTCAAAGACTTCCAGTAGCGCCAGCCATAGCTCTCAATTCTCAACACTCTCTTTTGAGCTACAAAAACCTTATCAAAGGCGGGTGAGCCTCCCCAAATAATTATTGAGTAAAGTATATAATTCTGGACATAGTGGACATGAGCAAAATAAACTTTTTTTTAGGGTCAGGCCAAGACAAGGTCTTGTCGGCCTGTGCCCTTTTTAGTGGCGCAGAAGGCGCCACTCAATTTTGTCTTTTTGTCTTTTTTTTTTAATACTGTACATAGAATTTCTGGTAACACGCTTTGTCTCAATTTGACAAACAAGTAAATAGTTCTTATTTGTTTATTTATTTATTCTCCACACAATATCGGCCCATTTCCGTTTTGCCAACTTTTTCCAAAGTTCTTGAGAAGTGCTTTTTGCTTCGTCTCTTTTCATTTTACGAGGCGAATAATTTGCTGCCAGGTTCGCAGCACGGGTTTATTAAGGGCAGGTGCACTGCGACTGCTCTTTTTGAGTTTATTGTGAAATTGCACGAACAGCTCGAGAAAAAGCAAAAAGCACTTGGAATTTTTTACGACCTTTCAAACGCGTTCGGAACAATATGCGTGCCGCTGCTGCTTCGGAAATTTGAATTTCAAGGCGTCCGAGGGGTTGCGTTGGAGTGGCTGCGTTCGGCGTTGACCGGCCGGACGCAGGCGGTCAAATTGCGTGTCATGGACGGCAAGCTGGAAAAATTTGTGTACTCTGAGGAGAGTTTGCTTGAAAGAGGGACTCCTCAGGGTGGAATTATTTCTCCTTTTGGCTTTGACGTTTCCATTGGTGACATGCCGCTCCACGTAGCCGTCGGATTGCTTTTGAATTATGCGGACGATTCGTCGTCTCTCGTTTTTGCTCGGACGACGTATGCATTAATGCAGGAGGCGCAGTTGGCGGCTAATTTAATGTCGGGTTTTTGCCGTGATAATTTTTTGACGCTAAATCAGACCAAGACGGTGGTTCTTAATTTTCAACTCAGGCGCCCCGTCCTAGACCGCGATAATTTTACTTTGAATTTGAATGGTGACAATTTGACCGAGTCGGACGTGACAAAGTTTTTGGGCTTGTATCTCGCGCATAATTTGAAGTGGACTGAGCATTCAGATTATGTAGTTGGAAAATTAAATAGTGCAGTTTTTTTAATTAACAACTTGATGCGCTCTGTTGATGTGAAATATTTGAAAATGATTTACTTCGCTTACTGTCAGTCTATTATGAGTTACGGCATTGTAATTTGGGGAGGGTCGAATCAGGCGATGGACGAGATTTTTCTGGCGCAGAAAAAAGTGGTGCGAGCTCTTGCGGGTGAGCGCTATTGGCGCAGTACGGAGCCGCTTTGTTCTGCGCGGCCGCTTTTCGTTCGGTTCGACTTTCTTCCTGTTTTTTCCATTTATCTCTTTGAATCTTGTAAATTTGTTCGTAAATATCCGCACTATTTCCAAAAGACGAGTGCAGTTCATAATTATCAGACACGGGCAAAAAGTGATTTGTATGTTGCTGCCCAGACTTTGTTAATTTCTAAGCAGAACCCTTTGACTTGTTTAGCTGCTTTGTATAACAAATTGCCTGTTTCGATTCGCTTAGAGCCTCGATACAAGATTTTTGAAAGTAGTTTGAGGCGATTTGTTCATTCGCATAAATTTTATAGCAAAGAAGAGTTTTTTCAACTAATTGATACATTGTAATATTTCTGTTGTTTTTTACTCTTTACTTTCTACTTGTTTTGTACTATGTTGCAAATGGGGCGCGTCGCAATGAGTAATTACATCGTGGTGACGCCTCATACGTCAATAAAGATCAATAATAATAATAATAATAATACACAGCAAAAATACTATACTTAAAAAGTACAGAAAAAGCTGAAAATACATTTGAAAGAGACACAATACTGTTAATTGGGGGTGAATGGAGAAAGGAGAAATGGCTGCTGGCTAGCAAAAAACTCACTTTTGCACAGCACCCTCTCCTTCTCAACTTAGAGACGATTTTAGAATTTTAGCATTTTTCACTACTTCAACGTTATTTATTTTAATTTTCGGTGTATCTAACTTTTAGTTTGAGCCGTATTTATAAATAATGATAATATTAGCTCTGGTCCAACTGCCCTCAATAAATCTAATACTTGCCAATTCTCTCCTCAATGTAATTTCCCCCCCCCCCCCCCAAATAATCTTGACCTGTTGTGAGAGAATAAACGAATTGAATTCTAATAAATAGTTAGTAATGAAACTTTAATTTCACCCTGTTACCAAATTGAGAAATGAAATTGCAATTTCGCATTTGTGTACTGTAAAACCTGCTAATTCCAGTGCTGAATTGATAGAACAAAATTTTCAATGTCCAGATTGGGCGTGATGGGCACCCGCGGTCGTCTATGCAACCGGACGTCGATGGGCATGGACGGTTGCCGGCTGCTGTGCTGCAGCCGCGGCTACCAGACCAAAATTCGCGACGTCGAGGAGAAGTGCAAGTGTCGCTTTGTGTGGTGCTGCCGCGTCGAGTGTGACAAGTGCCGCTACAAGCGCGAGGAGTACATCTGCAACTAGATCAAAATTATCATTTAACAGAAATTCTTAGAATGAAAAAGGATTTTTCCGAAATTTTTTGTAATGAATTTGATTGGATTTTCAGTTAAATATTTATAACCATTTTATAATAAAAGCTTGGGGCTTCGGAAGACCATTTTTACTTAACTTTTGTATAAACTCGTCCTGCCTCTGCCGTTCATCCTTCAGTGTAGCAAAAATTCATGTTGTATGTTATAAATCCCCCTAAATACCATCCGCAAAGTGTTTTTCGTGAAGTGTGTGTTTAGTTGTAAAATCTTCTATATGAAATACGCGACGTGCTTAAAATTAATACTTGTAATGCTTGCTCTTGTAAATACACATTAAATAGCCACTTGCTTACTTTACTCCCCACATCTCAGGTGGAGCTGTGGAATACAACAAAGTAAAAAGGAGCGCCTGCATTTTCAAAATTCTTATATAGTAAAAAAATATCCACAAGACACAAATTACTTAAAAAGAATCACAACGACTGAATGCAGAGACTACGTATTCATCAAACTAAAAATATGTCACGAAGAGTATTTGATCTGGTCGAGTCGCTTTTGCACTTCTCTTTTACTGACGCGTGTGTTCAAATGAAATGCATTTTTATGTTTTTAACTTATTTTTAAACGTAGACTATCAGAATAGAGAAGATTGTGATCATTTGTATGATAAGAATATGCTAGCGGGTAGGAGGTATTGATTTCACAATTTTCTTTTCAAATATTTATGTACTTCCTATTCTATAATTGTATCAAAACTGATTAAAACTCTTTATGTCAATGCGATTAGGAATAATTAGACTTATTATGCAAGTGTTATTAATTAAATGTGTATCAAAATACAGTAGTTTTGAGTTTATGGGCACACTTATAGCAACCATGTGCAAATATTCATGTTGTATAATTAGCTGATGAAATAAAATACAAAACCAGTATGTAAAACTGTTTTTTTTTTACCAGAAAATAATATGGTGCAAATCTATGATTTTAATGTTATATTTTCATCTTTAGCAATTTCCTTAGAAAACGATAAAAAAAACTGAATCCGGAATTAAACTTTTCAAGGTTGTCAAGAAAAAAAATGAAGGCAAATGGTAACCTGGCATCTGTTTTTTATTTTTTTAATAGGGTCAGGCCAAGACAGTATTGTCGGCCTGTGCTCTTTATTAGTGGTGCAGAAGGAACCACCACCCAATTTATCTATTTATTTATTTTGGGTTCTACTTTATTTAAAAAAAATCATCATTTTTTGCTAGCATATCCTTAATTCTGGTCCACGCGATGATGACAAACAAAGCTGCAAACTGAAAAAGAGAGATTGGATTTGGATTAGGTTGGGGAAGGTCAGATTTTGATATTTTATAGGTGGTTGGATTTAATGTATAATTTTGTGCTAAATTTTTTTTGTTTCTTTTAATTTGTGCTGCAAATAAAAAATAAAAATGGTTTTTAATTTTTTTTTTTTAATTTTTAAATTTTGTGTGCTGGAAATGCAATTTTTGTTCAGTTTGGAATTAAGGTTTCATACCATTATTTTATGTTCTCTTCAGCCATATTAATTGTATTTAAGTTTTTTAAGCCGGCAGGCCGCTTGTTCCAAAGTCGCGGCCCACGTTCTTTCATGAAATCCATTCTGGTTTCCAATATTAAGAGGCATCACTAGCGGGTCGGTTTGTGCCGTGCGTGTTGAATAATTGTGCGTTCTCCTTGCACCAAAGTTACCGTCAAAATATTTAAGGAGAATAATGTTCTGAACAATTATTAGCTCAAGCGGCAATGCACTTTTTTCTGGCCATTATGAAAAGTAGTTTTTCTTTTAATAATTTGAGGGGCGTTATTGTGCCGTGGCCCCATGCCACGAGGAAAAGCCCGATCTCTTCATTTCCATGATCATCTCCTAAAGTGTCAACTTCTTCAAACAAAAGAATTATTTTGATAAAAAATTTTAGGTAACTAATTATTTAATTAATAAATAGAATCAAAACCATTTTTGCATTGCAATGAGGAATTTATTCCTATTAATCGTTACAAGCACAAACAGTGTTGGGGTGCGTGACCCATATTTATTCACCAAGTTTTCATTCAAAATTACTCTTTCTTTCCTGCCTGTGTCTTTGCAGGCACCACAATAGCAATAATAATGTGTTTTGTGTATTACAATTCTGGTTATCCTCAAAAACTTCATAATATTTTGTCTTCTCACATTACTTTCTATTAATTTTTTTGTACAAAATGAAATCTAGTGGATAACTCATTGCAGCGTTTGCTTTCTAGCAATGCTGGTTCTTTGCAATTAATTTTTCATGATATACAACGGACACACGCACACACACATTTGGCTTAACTCCTAGCTGGATATTAATCTTCTCTTTTAATTTGCATCTCGCTGGCTAATTATTTGTTTCCTTTGTACACAAGTTTTTATGTTTTTATTTTCATTATTTTTCCACTATGATTACCGAGCATTTTACACTTCTGCGTTTTCCACGTTAAAATATCAGGTTACAGTCATACAATTTTCAGATATGCTCAGTTTCCTTTTAACACTCCATTTCACCGGGTAGGCAACCAGTTTTGATATCATTTATGTAACAAAGAGCTTTCAGTCACTTTTAATGGTAAAGAGAAATTAATACAAATTGCCAACAATAAATAAGGATATATATATATATTTTTTGTTCTTAACCAAATCTCACATTAAGCTGATTTTTTGTTTTAAAACATTTGATATTTCTATTCACTATTCTGCTGTACTAGCAGAAAAAGCTTGGCTTGATTGAAAACTGGTTGCAACCAAGCGAACACGGTCCACACACATAAATAATTAATATGCTATGCTCGTCCTTTCCTTGAAAAGAAGTGCTGGCTGGATTGGGTCTTTTGGTGATATGCGACCTTACGAGTACTTATGTTTCTATCCGCAAAATCAAACAGCACTTTAAAAACTCCTTCCACCACTCCACCGTAAGGAGATCATCCTAATTAAAAAAGTTTGTTGTTTGCTTTCATAAAAAATAAGTTTGGTAAAACGAACAGAAGTATTTATAATTATAATTAATAAGATGAAATTTAATCTCTTTGCTCACATCAAAATAAAATATACAACTCGAATCTATATTTACAACTCTAAAATAATATTATATAATATTTCGACCATAAGAATAATTAACAAAAAATTGATACATGTACACACTCAGAGAACTTAGGCTCGTCGCTGCACTAGTTAGTGCTGTGGCTGCCCTTATGTAGGCTCGTCGCCGCACTCTAAATGCAGCGATGAGCTTAAGAGTTTTGTGTGTACCAACTAAAAAAAAAAAAAAACAACAATTTTTAAATGATGAATTAAAAATCAAAAGTAGTGTGTTTGGGTGTATTGAGAAAACAAGGACGTGCACTAAATTGGCTGGGAGATATGTAGTCACAGGGTGATTCTTTTTCATTTCGGTATGAGCTGAGTCAGTTCCGTTCTTATTTTTTCATTCAATGTGCAGTTGATGATCTGACGAACAATGTTAGGCAGGCACTATTCACTCGAAATTTGTGTTGAACATGTTCAAATCCTCGAAATTGCCTGTTCCCGACTGTTCCTGCAGCATCTGCAGCATTTCCGTCAACTCCTGAGGCTGCGTCGGCCCACCAGGCCCAGAAGGCCCTGGTGGAGGTCCTGCCGAAGAGCTGCTAGACCCTGGACCCGAGTCGGACGCCTGGCTTGAGTTTTGCCACTGCCACATTGCTGAAAATGTCATCAATGTTTTATTTTATAATTTATGCTTATAGGACGACAAGTTCAAGTTGTTGCAGTTTTTTTTTTTTATATTTGATAAAAAAATATTTTGAAACAATTCAGGAACTAAACAAAGCTTACAATGAGAAAAATTAAAAAAAGATTACAAATATAATTTGTAACACAAATTTGTTCCATTTTGGAAATATAATTTTTGAAATAATATTGTCCAATTCTTTCTGTTTTAACAGACCCCGCCGAAAGTTGAAGATATCAATATGAGATTTACACCACTTAGTCATCTTAATTTGAAGGCAATAAAAATTTAGGGAACTTACCTTCAATTAGAATAATTGAATTTAATGTGTCATTTTTTCTTTTTCAAAATATTTCAAAAAGAATATATCTTAATTTTTTAATAACAGCAGTTAAAAAATTGGCTACACTCTCCAATTTTAGAGAGTCAGCAAGCAGGAGACTCCAAATGAACAGAAGAAGGAAGCTTACCACTAGGTGCTGTCGTAGCTGGGTGATATGTAGGGGCCTGTGTGGGGGGCAGTGGTCCACGTACACCAGGGCCGAGGTTGGTGTACGTTGGCCCACTTGGCGATCTAGATGGGCTGATTTGGCTGTACTGATAGCCCTCAGTGACAGGTTGCTAAAATTTCAATGATTTTAATGAATTTAAAAAATACAAAATTCTTTGGTTTAGTTTTTAAATATTGGCAAATTTTTACTCTTGACTGACCTGTCTGAGGTGAGGTTGGCTCCAGGCGGTTTGTGCTGGCGTTGGACTTGTGGTCGATGTCTTTGCGATTCGGCTCAAAACCGAGGCAGAGTTTGTTGAGCCAGCGGTGGGCTGGGGCGAGCCATACGCCACGGGGGACGCTGTTGGCTCTACATAGCTACCATACATGTTCTGCGCGCTGGCTGGACGGGCCTGCTGCTGCGCTTGCGCTGAATGGAAAAAAATGGTATTAAAACGTGTAAAAAATTAAATCTGTTTATTTTAAAATTTTCAAAGTAATAACTTAAATTGCAAGTTTGTGTTTTATTTAGTTATTACAAACTTCATATTCAGTAAGAAAATTTAGTCTTACGTTGCAGGTGGGATCCGATCATGTGGGATGAGTAGACGTCACGGCGTTGCATGCTGTAGTCTAGGCCTGGTTGTTGATATGGCACGGGTTCAGGGGCTGCAGTTCCAGGCACAGCGTCCACCCCAGTTTCAGGGTTTTGCAATGCTCTAAAATTTTTATTATAAGAAATTAAGAATTTCATTCCCATTTTGATGTGAAATTATATAAAAAAAATTTTAAATTTCACAGCAGTGCTCAAATTTTTTCAGTCTTGCTTTCAAGCTTTGCGCGCAGGAATGTTTCCATAAAAAAGTGCAAATTGAGAAAGAAATTATAATTATAATAATAATTCAGGAATTGCAAATTTTTAATATTTACTAAAGCGCTGGCGATCTGCGCTTCAAATTGTCAAGAAATATTTTGTATTTTTTATTTGAGAAAAAGGTTGGTCTGCAGTTAGTATCTGAAATTTGTCTGAAGTTTTTTCTAATAAGAATAACTCACGAGGAAATTTCTTGACCTGTTGTAAAAGTATAAAGAAATTGAATTGAACAGCTCAATAAATAAATATCAAAGTTCAAAGAATATGTTTTCCAAAATGTAATAAACTGGGAACTCACTTTGCAGACGTGTTGGTGCACACTATGTACTCTACGTCGTCAGTGTAGGGGTTCAAAAAGGCAAAAGCTGCTGTTCGTAACCATACCCATTCCCTGTTTTTGGCTCTGAACCGGTACATCACTGACAGTACTTGGCCCTTCAACTTCAGAACTAGAAATTACAGAAAAAATATTTAAAAAATATTTTCCAAATAATTGAAGTTTAAGTCCACCTTGCTCAAAACTTTCTTTCATGTGGGTTTGATCCTCGGGGTGGAAATATTCAAAACACGGTTTGCCCAGCAACTCAGGCGGTGAATAGCCCAAAAGACCCATCACTCTTTGGTCTACAAAAGTGAACTTTCCCTCCATCGAGTGTCTAGAGATAAATTCTGAAAACAGACAAATTCACTATGAAATTAAAAATCACTTTTCTTTTGTGCTAGGGGTAGTGCGCAGCCTTCCGCAACCTGCACAACAAAAGCACGTAAATTGCGCACAAAAAGTACTTCTAGTTTGAATCAAAATAATGGGGCACTTAATTGTGGATTGTTTGAGCTAAACTTTGAGTTCCTAGGTGCAGCAGGAGGAAGAGAAATAAATAAGATTTTTTAATTCGCCAAGAAAAATTTGCCCCTTGACAAATAATTACCTGATGCAGAATTTGATCCAGTAAGGTCGGACGTGTTGGGGGTCGAGGTGACCTGCAGTCTGCCAATGGCAACGAGGCAGCAGTGTGAGGTGCCGGAAGGATCTTCGTCACCACGGTCCATCTGCACCCCCGAGGGCGGCCAGTTTTTGATGTACCCGGTACAGTGGACGACGGCGTGGTTCTGGCCGTCACGGGAGGGACCCAGCGAGTTGCGCTGCTTGAGGCGGTGCAGGTGGGTGCCCACCATTCCATCTGGGGGCATGTTGCCCACTTTCATACGGCAGATAAAGCCTCGCCGTGAACCCATGCACAACCGCATTGATGCTGGAAATTGATTCAAAATTGGTAAGTGAAAACATTATCAAATTTTGACAGTGAATCTTTAAAACAAAAAAGTTGTAAAAATCAACTCCAATAAGTTTTTAAAATTTTATTGAATTGCAAATTTTTTTCCGTCTTCTTGTTTTTTTTATAGGGAATAAACTTTCTACAAAAATTTTATTGATTAAAATTATTTCCTAATATTAACAATTTACATATAAACAGTTTCTACAATTTACCATAATAATATTAGGTACAATGCAGATTGTTCATAAAAATATAATTGTAAAAAATAGCTGTTGCAATATTCAACAGTTTTCATCAGCACCAGCCGATAAGTCTTCAGACTTGGTTGGGCTGGACTCGTAAAATTATATCAAATAAATCTCTTTTCTTTATAAAAAAAAATATTTTATCATTGAAGCTTATTTTTAAAATAATAAATTAATACTATTCATTTTCTTTAGGTTATGGTATGCTTTACTAAGGATCTCTTTCTTCTTACATTGGTGTCCTTCCTTCTTAACAGTTCCGGTTTTGAGGTCGAGAATCCTCCCAGTGTTTTGCGGTTCCTGAGTACTGAGCTGCTCTCTGACCTTCTCGACGTCCTCAGGGTGAAGGTGATCAAAAATACATGAGCCAAACCATTCGTTCTGCAAAGGAGAAACAAAATATTTACTTGAGAACAAACTTTACCGAGAGCAAAAACATTTTTGATTGTAAACAAAGCGCTCAATTTGTTGCTGGACAATGTTCAAAATGAGTTTTACAAACTCAATATCATTGCCAAACTTGAACAAGTTACATAAAAATAGTGATTTAAAGCCTTTTTAAATGATTTCTTAAATATGAATTAATTAGGTCGTAACCTAGAACATGTACTAGTTAATAATCACTAAAAATTTTTTTTTAAATTGAAGCTAATAATATTATTATTATTGCATCACTTTTGGGGAATAACAGATAGCGATTTTAATTAAATTGCGTAAATGAGTGAGAACTAAGAATATTTAAACTATATAAAACTGCCTTCTAGAAAAAAATTTATTTTGACATTTATTGAATAATATTTCCTGGTAAAAACTCCAGTAAATATTAAAAAAACTGCTAATTGTTCTGCTAATTTTTTTCCAATTCAATTTTTTTTTTCATTTATGACTTGAGTAGAGTAAAAAACAACATATAAAATAAAAAGAAAGTTGTTTAAGGGACGCTTCATGAATGATTGACAGCGATTTGAGTTAAATTTTTGGTTCATGTTGTTGATAAAATCGACCAAAATTTGGAATTGATGTTTTCTATTTTTCGGATTTCAAGTTTCTTGGAAAAATTAAAATTGCAATATTGCTTCTAGTTGGAATTTTGATGTGTGCTCTTTCACTTCCTGTTGTAAATTTTCTTTCCTGACAATTTTTTTATGGTCAAAGGTAAGGGTCCATAAATTGCAAATTTTCTAACAAAAGTAAATGAGTCAAGTGAGTCAACGCCCACGAAAGCCCACGAAATTCAGCGTGTATTGGGTGATTTTCAGAATTTACAGAAGAGGGCAAGCATTTAACTGACCCTCCTCACCTACCACAGGGAAAAACAACCCCTGAAAACACTTTAGCTGAGTCTCTCACGTTAATAACAGAAAGGAATTGTGGACAAAAAATTTGGCCAATTCGCGGTCAATCATTTTCTTGAACAGTCCATGTAGGGTAAATGTAAAATAATTTTGAATTTTTTTAAATTAATTTAAAGCTAGTCCTGTGCACTTTTTTTTCAAAAATTGAGATACAAATATTTTGATAAGAAAAAATTGAAACATGTGCAAAATGAAATTAATTGTGAAATAATAATAGAAAATGATAGTTGCCTGTGCCTGGTTGAGGATGGGCGTGACGCTGTCTGATACATAGATGACGCGTCCGGTGTCGCAGGTCACGACAAAGAGGAATCCGTCGGCCGCCTCGAGGATCAAGTGTTTCAGCTCCTGGTCGGTGAGGAAGGACGGCTTGTAGGTTCCGTCGGTGCTAGTGTTCCCCGTGCCTGAATCATCAGCTAATAAAATAAAACGACATGCAGGAGCGTCTCCACGAAGGACGCCCGCGGTGCTCCCCAACCCCCCTGTGCCTCAAGATACTTGCTAGGTGCGTATTTTACTCATCAAAAATAATGGAGAAACGAGCATGGAAGGAGGGCCAATGACGATTTTATCAAAATGGTCCAAAGTCTTATAATGGAAAATAAAAATGCAAAATTTTGAGCATTTTCAGTTCTTCACAGTTGATTGTTTTGCGACTGTTTGAAGTAAAATGAAATCAATATTGTATTGAATAATCATTATTATTTTGGTTGTTGTTGCCTTATTTTTTTATAACTAGCTGTTGAATAAATAAGCGCGGATTATTTCATGGCTGAATAAATACATAAAGGTTTTATTTTCTCGTGTTTTTGTATGTTTTTCTCTGCACATGAACAGTTCCTCTAAATATTAAATTAAAAATTATTCTGATGAAAACTGTTGTCAATTGTAATCAAATTTTTTTAATTGTGCCAATATATGTTTGAAGGCATACAATTTTATTTTGATCTAATTCAATGAAAAATGTTTGAAAATTATTAAAAAAAAATATAAGTGATAGATGTAAAAACTACTATTTTCTCAGCAATTATTTTTTTATTTCAATTTATTTTTTAATTAAATTTTATGTAATATTATATCGTTACGATTAAAATTAAATATAATGCATAGCAAAACCATTGAAAACTTTTGTCTTTATTTTGGGTCGAATCTGTCAATTGAGAATTTTGAATTTGATTTCCGGCCAAAATTAAATCATAAAGCGGAAGCCGCATCTGGCGGTGGTAGAGATTAAGCCGTAAAACCGGGCAGGCGGATGAGCAGGAAATTTGCATTTTTGTCGTCGTTTTAATCTGGCGGGCGAGTGGGTTAATTTCGCATGATGAGAGAGGGCGAGCTGGCTCGGCGGCTTTCCCGGGAAATGGCCCGCGAGCTAGGAGAGAAGCCACTTACTTAGCGAGCGTGTAATATGCTAATTCTCATCCGACCAGCAGCAGTAGCAGCAACACAAAACACGCGCCCCGGGGAACACAATTTCCTCCTCTAACTTAACCGCGCGCTCGCCGACTCTCGCTTTCTTATCGCGCCGCCGAGACGGAAATTAACTTTTCCAGCGGTGACCTTTTACACTCAGATCATCTCTAGTTGGTCTCGTTGAGTAAGTCAATTGTTTGCCCACCCCGACGACACTGGCGTGCGAGCACCCTCAAGTGCAGATTATTTTATTAGTATTGTTGTTTATTTGTCCATATTTTTATCTATATTATTTGTATTGTATTTTACAATTAATAATAATAACAATTGTATTGCTTATACAAAGTGTTATTGTGGATGACGTACAGCACATCCAACTTGTTTGCAATATGAAGATTATAGAGAACGTATTCTTTTTTCCTCTGAAAGACATTTTTGAACGTTTTCAAGTAAAAAAAATAATAATATAAAAATTACATTTTACAGACATTATTTATTTATTTTTTTTTTTTATTTCTGGAGTATAATTTTTTTTTTAATCCTTAAGTTTGAAATTTTATTTTAAGCCGAAGATTTTGATAAAACTTACATAATGACTCTATAAAAAAGATTTTTAGAAACTTTTTGCTCAAGAAGGTTTTAACATGGGCAACTAAAATTTGAGACTAAAATGATGCGTTTTATGCTATTAATCAAAAATACATTCTCAAACGGCTTATTTCTACTTCTAAATAAAAACGATTCAATTTCCACAAAGCTTCCAAAATGAAAATGTTCAATTTTGTCTAATTGTAAGTTTCCATCTGCGAAACCGTTCTCCGATTTTTTACTTCCAAGTTGGTCGCGAGCAAAGTTTTTCGATAACTCCAGAAGGAGGAGAAGGATAGATAATAATATTTTAGCAGAGCAAAAGGCCGAGCTGGCGAGCAGCGAGCGAGCGCAGAGGGGTGACAAGTGTTTTCACGGGCGATTAGCGATGCGCGTCACGCGCCCTTTGATGGTCATACCTCAGCCAGCAGCCGCTCGCCAGTTCGCTCGCCGCTCAACAATGGACAATAAAGAAACGAGAGGCTTGCACCGGATGTCTGCTGGACAAAGCAGCGCCGTATTGTCTTTATGGACACGTGAAAACGCTCAGCTATCAGAATTAATTTTTATTAATTAGTATGCTGTCGGCGTCATCCCCGCCCCCCCTCCCCACACACGCATTCACTCACAACACCAGGCCAAGGTATGTGTAAGCGATAAAAAATGAATATGTATGACTTTTCGCAGCGGCAAACCACCAAAAATTCAAATATTATGTTGTACGATTGGGGTGCCTCACAATGTCCTAAAGATAATATTCTAAAGTAAATGCCCTAAAATTAAGAATTGAAAATGTCCTAACAGAAAATATCCTAACGCCTGAAAATTATAACAAGTCATGTGTCATGTGCAAAAAAAATCAATTTCATCCTTTCAAGTATTTTTACTGCAAAATTTGTCCTGATTCAAAATATTTGACGCTTCATACGACTAGGAGTCTTTTTAGGATAATATACATATTTAGATTGTTTAACTAATTTTAGTAATTTTAGGCTTTTGTAATGACTCAAAAATTTTTTATATTTTTTTTCGCATTTTCTACGGGTAGTTGAGAAATATAACCATTAATCTTTCTTCTAGACAATAGTTTCAAAGAATATCGTAAAAAATTTCAAGCATTTGTAATTTTGGAAAATCGGGGTTTTTCCTTGTTGCAGAAATTGTTTTTTTATTCAAAAACAAATTGGCTCCAAAAACAAATTGAGCCAATTTGTTTTTGAATAAAAAACAATTTCTGCAACGAGGAAAAAGTCAGATTCATTCATTTCCATGATCATCTCCTTGAGTGTCAACTTCTTCAAACAAATTTGTATTTTTGTTTCCTACGAAAAAATTTACTTCCAAATATCATTTGAATTTTTTTCCAAGACAAAAAATATGAAAAATTCTAGTTAAAAATATTCATTTAATTATTTATTTTCAATGTATGTTGTAGTAATAATATTATTATTAACAATAATTTGTATTTGTGGAAAATAATATGATTGTTTCAAAATTTTATATTTTGAATTACTTGATCAATTATCGTCAGAAATATGACAGAGGAGCTCGACAAATAGCATCATTAAATGTCTTAAGCGCACCTGCAAAATCACCTACAACCCTATGCCTAAAACTCAAACTGTAGAAACAGCCCAGAACTACCACTGCTGTCCCAAGCTGACCCTGACTGATTTGTGCTAAGAAAATATTTCTGCTTAAGTGAATTCATTTAATAAGGAATGAAGTCAATTAGGACAATTTTTTAGACAATGTGCATGCGACCATAGCTTTTAGGACATTATCTTTAGGATATTTTTTCTTTAGAACACACTCTGTTAGGACATTGCATTATTTTGTATAAAGCTAAAAAACAATGTTGAAACATCGATTTACATTAAGAATATTTAAATTTTGACTGAAAAAAGCAATTTCATCGTGACATTAAATAATCATGGCCACGCATCACGTTTTTTTTCCCTCTCTACGGAATTAAGAAACGGAGAAACGCTTTTACTGATGAAAGAAATGCACGCCTTTTGCCGCGAATTATTGTTTATTCATTTCATTAGTCATATCAGGAACCCCGCGGCTCAGTAGAGGGCTATTCACACGGCGTGATGAATGAATTACACCGCCAGCTCTGCGTGCAGTCGGAACGATTCGAACCATTAAATTAATCGCAGGCAGGCATATTAATAAATATATGCACTGTATGTCGATAGCTGAATGAAAAGTCCTAAACAATGGCTTTCGACGGACGCGGCGCGGTGACAAACTAGGGACGGTTTCATTCACCGCTCTTGACGAATGGGGCGACAACCGACTTATGATGGACTACAGAGACCATAAACGAAAACGAGAGTCTAGTCCGATATATTTTGGAATGATCGGTGTAGAGCAGTCAACGACCGTCGACGTCTAGAAAAATAAATCGGTGCAGAAAAGATTTATCTGGGAGACATGGATGGGCTGCATTCAATTGAAATTGGAGAGAGAGAGACGGGTTTGAAACTCTGTTGATATTTTAGGGGGAGGGGGAAATGAAGAAATATACTAAATTGTGAAAAAATTGAAAATTTTAATGGTAAAAAATTATAAAAAAAAATTCCCAACATACTATATTCAACTATTAAAGACCCTTTTGAGCAATAATTTTAATCTTTGATATTCAAAAGAAAATTTCATGAGCTTGAATGGAATTTGCGATCAACGATTTCGCGCTCCTAAGGGATGAAACAGGTGTCATGAAGGTCAACCTTCATTGAATTGAATTGAAACCTTTTCCTTCCAAAAGCAATCACTAAATCCTACGGAATAAGCAAGTATATTTTATCTAATTCTAAACGTTGAGATCAACACTTTCCTCAGGGTTAAAAAAATGTTTTAATGTTTTGAATTGACTATAGAAATGCTCTTTAGCGGGAAACTGAGGCGCGCATTTTTCCCATCGCGTTTTTGACCTTGGTCATGAAGTTTTGTGCCCTTCCAAAATAAAAATCCTGAATAAAATTGGCAGAGTGAGACTGCAGGGTTTTCGGGGGTGGTTTTCCCTGGAAGTATTTGAGGAGGGTTAGCCAAATGCTTGCCCACCCCCGCCAAATTATTGATGGCGCGAGCAACCTCAATTACTGGCTTTAAAGAGGTAACAGTATTTGATATTTTGTACCCAGAAATAATGACTTGTTGTAAAGAAAAATAGGAGATGTATTATTACAATTGTCTGATGCAATAAGCTTTTAACTTATCTAATCTTATCTAATCCAACTGATCTGAATCAGGGATGGGAAAAATGGTTAATATATTATACAAAAATATAATTTTGTTATTCCGGGTAAAAAATTCACTTTCACCTCATTTTAACTTGAAACCCTTGTTTATCTATTTCTCCGCAGGCCTTTCTCACCATTCTCGGATATTCTAGAGAGACCCCTCC